ATCACCAAAAACACTAATGGCAACAAACAGATTCGTGTGTGAGATTTGTAACAAAGGTTTCCAAAGAGACCAGAATTTACAGCTACACAGGAGGGGTCACAATCTACCATGGAAGCTGAAACAAAGATCCAACAAAGAAGTGATAAGAAAGAAAGTGTATATTTGTCCAGAAGAAAGCTGTGTCCACCATGACCCATCTCGAGCTCTCGGTGACTTAACCGGAATCAAGAAGCATTTCTGCAGAAAACATGGAGAGAAGAAGTGGAAATGTGACAAATGTTCAAAGAAATATGCTGTTCAATCGGATTGCAAGGCTCATTCTAAGACTTGTGGCACCAAAGAATACAGATGTGACTGTGGCACTCTCTTTTCTAGGTAAAAAATAAACTCCTTCTCGTTTTTCTATTTCTTAAATGATTTTGAATATAGTGATTATTAGCACAAAAAAGAATATAGTAATTACAATTAATACTGGTTATGAATTTGGGATGTGGTGGTGTTGTAAGAACTGGAGGGACACATGGTACAAAGTATTTTGTTTTGATATGAATAATTTCATTTAATTTGAAAGAGGACAAGAATGGTAGCTCAAAAGAATCTTCATTTATAATATGGAACTAGTTCAGGGTACTTTTCTCCCCTTCTTTTTTTTTTGGATCTAAAAACTATTATGGGGTATTTTGACAAATTAAAAAAAAACGATATATATCATAGAGTATTTACTTCTTCTCATTTTCTTGCATTAAATATCATTCATCTTATAATATACATATGTGATTGCTACATGCGTTAGAAGGACCAAGGACCACTTGACTTTCATAGCTTCTCTCAAAGTGTGACATTTCTTCGTATTAATAATCAAAACTGTTATTGATCATTTTATGTTTTTATTTTTTTTGGTGTGGTAAATTAATAGGAGGGATAGTTTCATAACACACAGAGCATTTTGTGAAGCGTTGGCAGAAGAGACTGCAAGAGAAGTAGTAATACCGCAAAATCAAAACCATCAACCAAATCCTCTTTTGATTCATCAACCTTCCTCTCATCATCATCAAACACAACCAAACATGAACGTCTCTTCTCCTTCTTCCTCTTCCCACAACATCATCAATAGCCTTCACTTCGGAACCAACAATGGCACTAGTAATATTAACAGTAGCAGTAATCATCTCCATACGTTTCCAGTGAAGAAAGAGCAACAACAAAGCAATGACCATATAATCAACTACCACCACCATAGTATCCCTCCTTGGCTTGCTCCTCAGCCGCAAGATCTCATATCTTCAAACCCTAACCCTAGTAATGGTGGTGGAGGAGGAGGAGGTTTGTTCTCTCTCGCAGCTTCTCCGGCTATGTCAGCCACCGCATTGCTCCAGAAAGCAGCACAAATGGGTTCCACAAAGACACCTCCTTTACCACCAACCATCGAATTTGAGAGGTCAGCTCATCATAACAACCTCACCACGACAATGGCGGCGATGATGACGTCACCATCTGGATTCATCAGCTCCAACAACAACAATCAAGTTTTGTTTCAAGACTACAACGCTTCCGGGTTTGATCATAACGGTGGAGAAGAAGCGTTCGACGATACATTCGGCGGGTTCTTGAGGACAAACGCTGCTACGACCGCTTCAGCCGCAGGATCAGACCAAAATAAAAGCGGTGGAGGAGGAGAGGGTTTGACGAGAGATTTCTTGGGGCTAAGACCGTTAATGTCTCATAACGAGATTTTAAGTTTTGCTGGTCTTGGGAATTGCATCAATGGCCCTGCTTCCGATCAGCTACATCCAAAGCCTTGGCAGGGTTAGTTTTTTTGTTGTTGCTTATATTTATAGTGAATCTATCTAAATTTTAATATTAATATATGTATATACATATGTAGTTTTATATTTCCATAATTTTTTTGTTCTTTGTTTTATTAACTTGAATTATATGCTTTATGCTCACCAAAGGAGAATCAAATGGGGCACGTTTATACAGAAATATCTGATTAACTTGTTACGTGTCGTGTATTTTATTTTATTTTATTTGGGGGGGGGGGTGTTTCAAAAAAAAAACAAGCTGATGTAATATCCAATTACATGAATTATATATAATTCTTATCTTATCCTTTGTTAAATATCCAATTATCGTCAAGTAGCTCAATTTCATAATTTCACTGGGTTCTTTTAATGAAATTTATCTCTAAGTTAACATTTTTTTTTTCAATTCTAAAAAGGTAGGTATGTTTAGACTCAAAAGTCTTTTGGTTGTATTTTATATATGATCATACACACAATGATTAGGTAATAGAAACCTAAAAGAAGAAAAGTGAAAAAGGAAAGAGAAGAGAAAATGAAATATAAGTAATTAATTATGAAATGTGGCACATGAAAAGCATAAAGTACAGAGGAGGATGATATGCATTGGATTCGATCTTGGGGTTGGGGTGACGCATCTTCTGTTTATAAACCTATTTCGAATATCGGAAATGCAAAAATATAAAATTTATCGATCTCTACACATATGTAAAAAACTAGGCCCTTTAACCAAAAACATATATGTGTATAATACCTATTATATCTTTTGTTTCTTATATATTGTATATATATCCCATGCAGGCACACAAGTGGGATCCGACAAAAGATAGGGACGCATCACGTTTTGCTTGGTGGGATGTATAGAACTTATGTATATATCACACATGGCCACAACTTTATGATATGCTATTGTTGATTACACATCAAAGCGTTCTTGATATTGAATTTAGTTTGCAGCTCTTTATGATAGCATATATCCTGGGATTATTCTAAACGTCATTTAATCCAAAATGAAATGAAATGAAATTAATTATTATGCTCCATGGACCTTCACCATATATAAAATTGATCTGGCGACAAGTTAAATATATTATTATTTGTATGTTTTTTTTTGGGGGGGGGGTGGTGTGGTCTTCCCTAAGGATTACGGAATGATATTTTCACATGCAATAAAGTGTGGAAAATGATTGAAATAAATAAAGGCGTCTTCTTGTTTTTCAACGAGGCGGATGTGACATATTGTTTTCAACAAATTTCTTAAATCTCATAGGCTTCATATATATGGATTTTGTCATATATATATATATATATATATATCGGGGGAAATTTTATAAATTAGATTTCAATGAAAGAACTTACAACATAACAAGACTATTTTTACCAAAAAAACAATAACAAGACTATAAAATATACATTGGAACACAGAATAAAATAAGGAAGGGTTATAAATTTATAATTAAAAAGAGAGAAGAATCTTGTAACGAAAATTCTGGTTCAACAAGATTTGTTAGATAGATATTTAGTGTATATAATTAGCCTATGATCACAAATGGTTGGTTACTCAGTGAGAGGTGTACTGGTATAACTACTTCTGCAAAAAAGGAAATTGTGACACCAGTTAGTTAAATTCATTTTGAGGAAATTAGCAAAATGACCATATACCACAAGACCAGATATTTTTTTTATTGTCCAAAAAATAAGAGTAGTAAAAAAAATTACAGACGTTAAAGGTGTCAAATACAGAGGACCCCTTGAATTTGTCAATGTCATGATGATTTTGGCATTTGTAAGGTTTTTCTTTTTGTCTGATTTTAATGAAGTGATCCCACAATCACTATTTACTTATTTGTTTTTGGTTGCTTGTGAAAGACAATAACTTTTACAAAAGATTATGCTATACAATAATGCTTGTAAAAGTTCTAAAACTTTGTAACCAACCAATGAATGTCATACATACAAAAAAAAATAATATAACGTGAACACATTAATTCTACAACGAATACTAATTTTCCTGCAAAGTGATGATGATGATGGTTTCTTAATTATACTACGAAGATGGTGACAATCCTGATATATGGAGAAAAAGGAACGAGCAACTGCACTGAAATTTTGGAATGACAAATGAAATTTTCATGGCCAACCTAATATCATACTCTCGTTACTCGTTAGTAAGTACGTACCACGCTAATTCTGGCTGTTCATTAACGTAAAAATTACTGATGCACTTACTCAAGATGGCTAGATTCTTAGTGGGGTTTAAAGCCACACTGTGTGTCAACAAGAAACAATCATTGAGCGTAAATTTTCACTCCTCGTTTACTCAAGCACCTGGCGCGTTGTAAACAAGCATTTTGTCAATATCATCTAAAGAAGCATTATTGAGATATTTATGAGAGATTCAAAGATCGATCCAAAATATATTTATTTGGCGTGATCGTGCCTGTTGCATAAAAATGCTATTCACTCCCTTACCTTTAAAAACAAAGCTTTTGAGAAAGAAATAAAATAAAACTCCTCGAATTTACTAAGCAGAGCTTGAAACCAAGGTTGGTTACTTGGTTCAAGTATGAGATTGACACCTAATATCTCTCTACGACGTACACCACAAGAAATCCTTTTTGAGGCTGACCTTTTGTTCGTCGAAGCTGCTGCTGCTGCTGCTGCTACGGAGCGACCAAGGATCTTCTCACCAAAGCCAACCCAATGATTCCTTTTGTAGCTAATTCTGAAGATGTTAAATCAAGCAGGAAAAGATTCAAGTTATTGGATTAATGGTTGCTTGATGATCTCTAAAGAGTGAGTTCACTGTATTATTTATAGATCAATGAGTGAGTATAAATTTCTGAGACTTTGTGGTATACAAACAGACTAGAACAGAGTTTTACACGGTAAAAAGATGCAATAATGCAATTTGTCTACTTGGATAATCTCCATAAGTTTTTCTGAGATAAGACGGTTCCCTATACTTTCAATTAGCAAGATCTGCAAGTGGTCTGTTCTCTATGCTCTGTCATGATTAAGCGGTAACTTCCCTGGTAAGTGGTAATCTGTTCTTTGTTCGGATCTCTAAGGGGTCCAAATGGATTCGATAAGAGCTTAAGAGTGGGAACCTGATGTTGTTAAACAACAGAACAGCAAGTTTTTTTTTGTCACTGTTTTAAGCTTCTTTTTTAATCACACATGAATCTTGTTTGCAAGAAGTTGTAAGACTTCGTAACATATTCAATATCATAACAATGTCCAGAATGAAAAAACTCCAAAGAACCTTTCAAAAACAAGCATGAAGTTTTCTCTTTTTATTGATTTGGTTAAGGAAGAATACAACATAGATGGATGATACTCATTTAGAAGGTGGTGGTGCCTTGGAGGGATCTCCCTTTTGATCTTGCTTAGATCCAGACACAGCTGCAGTTGCAGCCACGGTCATGGCTGTAGCGGCTGCACCGAGCTTAACACCTCCAGCTGCCTTCATGGCACCTGCAACTTTGGCAAATATCGCCACTCCACCTACCAAGATACCTCTCAAAGCTACCGTCGGTTTCACCACCATTTTGCTTTAACCCTGCCCATTTTCGTATTTGTATCAAACTTTGTTCATAAAAGACATACATAACTCTAAAGAAAGAACCTTGCAAACCATCTAAACCAACAAAAAAAAAGAAGAAGCTTATTACTTATACAAGCTGATTAGCATCCAATTACAAACTGTTTATTCCCAATAGATGACACTGAGAAATGGGATGATTCACAAATTTGAAAGAAAGCACTAACTAAACATGACATTTAGAAACCACACACAACTCTCAAAGCTATGTCAAAGAGTTTCAATACCTCTAAGATGCATTCTTATGGAAAATTCCAGCATTGGCATTTAAAAAGAATCCAAGGAGAACAGAAAGCATGTGCCTCGGTCTCTCTTTTGTTTCAGAAGCAAACAATTACAAAGTTATCAAACCAAATCAGTATTGGTACACGACGTGATTCTCTAACCAAAATGGCATCGAAAATTTGGATCCTTTACTTTCACACAATCAAACAAAATCGACCTAAGAAGCTTGGAATCGGATAAATTATATCCTACCAATAGCACAATACAATTCAAGATTCACCTACGAAACAATCAAATATATGAATTTTAGATTCGTCTGTTTATGGGACACAAACCAAATGATACAATATACCGAGTGTTATCGATCGAGAGTTCAAAAGAGTATTGTTTTGAGATTCGATTAGATCAATAAAGTAGGGAAATTTTCGATACAGAGGTTTGTCGGAAAACTCACCGTTAAAAGCCTTCTCTCTGTTGGTGTTGTCGGGGACGGAACTAGATATCTCGGCGACAAGTTATCTTCCCTCGGACAAAGCTATTTTGTCTATAACCTGTAACGACGTCGTTTGAAATAAAGAATTATTGGTTACGGTGTCGTTTCAACCACTTCTGCATACTACAACATCTGTAATAACACTCTTTACGGCGTCGTTTTCTGGCCACGGCGTATGTGAAGCACATTTGCCGATTTGAAACACTTAAAACTCCAACAATGTTTCCGTCGCCGATGTCGCCGCCTCCAGTGAAGTCGCCGGCGGTTCAGACGCAATAAAACCAGTCTCTAGCTTCTCACTTCCATATATATCCGGTTAGAAAGCATTAATGTCGATTTCTTGGCCCTTTGGGTCTGATTCCGGTTCGTCGTTAATGGTGTGAATTTGTGTAGTTGATAGAGAAATTATCGAAAGAAATCGAAACTGGAGGTTCCGATTCCCTGGTTTGTTTTCCTCCTAAATCCCATGAAAACATACTTCATTCTTGTCCTATCTGGGTTACAGATTGTCCTTGTGTTTGATTTTGGTTTCGTTTGTTTTTTTTTTTTTTTTTGGAATTTCAGGTGAGTGAATTGAAAATTCGTTTTAAGAATTGTGAGCAGATGTTGAATTCGATTTCGAGATCCATTGGATCAAAAGCTATGGTAACATTTAAGACTCCTCACATTTCTTTCTCATGAGAACAAAGTTTTGCTGTTTTATGCTCTGGTGTACAGTAGTGTGTTGTGATATGAGCTTTGCACGCAAACTTTAATTTTTTTTTGCTAATGGGATATTTATGGATCTTGTGTTGAAGACTGTTGATGGACAGAAACGAAAGCTGGAAGAATCCGAATATTTGCTCGAACAAAGAAGGTGCTATTTTGTTCCTACGTTTGTTTCTTCAATCTCCTCCTGGAAATTTGATAGCCTTATTGGAACATTAACCTTAGTTATTGTTACATTTTTTCTTATTGAGTTACTCTCCCCACAAAGAGCATTGTGTTTTGAGTTTAGACTCGTATCTTGGGCTCTTGAGGCATCTATAAACGTTATGAAAATTGTGTTGCTTTTGTTACCGTGACCAACTTTTATCGTTCTTTGTTTTTCTTTGTTTCAGACTCTTCTACAATAAGAATATTGTCTCACACCCCAAGTCAAAGAAGCCAGAAGAAGAAATAAATTGACAATGGTTGTGATTTTCTTTTAGTTTCAATGTCTCACACCATTTCCAGAGCTACAAACATATTTCTTCCTTGGTTCCGTTTTCGAGTAGGTTGTAAGGAAATCATTGTGAATCCCATGCCTATTAGTTTGTTTTGAAATCTAGACTGTAAATGGAATCTTGACCCTAAACATAAACTTCTTGTTAAGCTTCTGGTTATTGTTTTAAATCTCAGGAACTTGTTGATGATGTCCAAGAGAGGACAAAATGGTTTCAGATGAAAGGAAAAACAAAAAAAAAACAGGTTTTGAAAACTGGTAACGTAAGCTCGTCTAACCATATACTTTTATCGTCTTCTTCTTCTTATTACATCCATACACATAATCTCATAACCTATACATAGCCAATTTTTAGTAAATTCCAGTCGTCTTTTCTATTTTTCACCAATAGAACACGACCATATTCACTTCTATCACTTTCTAAATATAGACACTTAGCCCCTGACTTGAATTGGTCAAAATCTCTCTCTCTCTCCCTCTCTCTCTCTCTCTTGTCTCATTGTCTCTGTCTTATATCAGCTTGTCTCTCCTCCCTCATTTCTCTCCATTCCCCTGCATTTCCTTCCCACCAGGAGAAAACTAAGGAACAGAACTCGCCAAACCCTTGAAACAAAAAAATGCCCTCAGGCAAACCTTCTTCTGTCTTCCCTTTACATCCCAAACCAACACCATTAAAATCATCAAGCAGCACCAGCAACAGCAACAATAGCACAAACCAGGCCTGTGCCGCCTGCAAATACCAGCGCAGGAAATGTGCTCCTGATTGTCTTCTCGCTCCTTATTTCCCTCACGACCGTCACCACCAATTCCTCAACGCTCACAAGCTCTTTGGAGTCAGCAACATCACCAAGATCATCAAATCCCTTAGCCCTCCTGAGAAAGACGCAGCTATGCATACGATCATGTTTCAGTCCGATGCTCGTGCCAATGATCCGGTTGAAGGTTGCTATAGCATCATAAGAAAGCTTCATCACCAGATCGAGTGCACAAGAAACGAATTGGAGATTGTTCTTCAACAATTGGCTGTGCTTCGTGACCGTGCTCATAATCATCACCATCTTCATCATCCTCAAGAATCGCATATCCAGATGCAAGAACCTGAGGATCTATCGAGTTTTTCGAGTTCTTGTGATCTAAACAACAACAACAACAATTTGATTCCTTACAATTACCCTCTCCATCATGTTCAAGAACAAAATCAACAGCAGCAACAACAACAGTATTGTTCTCCTGGAACCTTTAATGGGTTACAAGAAGACATGTGGTGTCTTCAACTTCAAGATTCATCAACGACGGTGAATTTAAAGAGTGGCTTCATTGATGAATGTGAGGACGTTAAGCCTGTGGAAGAAGTTTCTAGCGAGAGACACGAGTTCGAGAATCATGAAGATTTCGTTGAACAACGGAAACTCGACTTGCCTTCCGCTCAATTCATCATTTCTTCTTAGCTTTTTTTTTTTCTTTTTCTTTGGTCTTTTTTTGGAGTTTTTTTTTTCTTATTAATTAAAGAATCACCTTTTGTTAGGCTCAACAAATTCTCCTCTCATCGATCGACATCAACAGAATTTTCCCCCTTTAATGTTGTTTTCTTTTGGATTTTTTTTAATTGTATCCCATTTAGTAAAATTTGTCGTAGGATTAGATGTGAAAGAGGTATGCAAATCTTCAACATATATTGCACAAGGGAATAAACAAAATTCAGTGGAGAAATATTTTCATTCTAATAGCTCATATGTGAAATCAGATCGTTCAATAATAATAAAACAGGCCCATGAAGAATCAGGAAGAGAAGCCTTGTAATAAAGAGGCCCATTAACACTAAAACAATAGATTTAGTCCCACATCGTTCAGATAAAGAGAAAAAGCTGCGTTTATATATCGCTAGAGTCGACAATGTGATTGTCCCTTCGGGGACATCCGATAAAATTGGAACGATACAGAGAAGATTAGCATGGCCCCTGCGCAAGGATGACACGCACAAATCGAGAAATGGTCCAAATTTTTTTTTTCTTTTTTTCCAATTTTTTTGAAATTTGTTTGTGTTCTTCGATTCTTCGGTTCTGTTCTTCATTTTCTGGACTTATAACTTAACTTTCCGAGGCAAATCTGCGCGAAAATGAGAGATTTCTGAAACCCTAAAACTATTGCTTTTAATGCTGATGATTAAGTTAACTGGAAGTGCAGTGATTTTTTTTGGCATTTTTTTCAGATCGGCTTCTTCTTCCTCTGTGTTCTTCTTCTGGTTTCGATTTTCAGGGTTCTTTTAATCCGTTACTGGAACCGTACTGAAGTTTCGGATGCAAGAGAAAGACTACAGATTTCTAAAAGTCTAGGTTTTTACGAAGAAACACGAATTACAAATGTGTCAGAATGAAAAGTAAAACAAGCCGGCTGCTTGTGGTCGTTTTTGCAGTTCCGATGGTCAGAAAACATATAAATTAGCTTAGATTTAATCCGTGAGCTTGTCCTCTTGTGGAGACAGAGGGTTTGAGTAATTTAAGAAGTTCAATTTTTTTTTTTTATGAAGACACAACTTCTGGAGCTCTTGCTTGTTGTAATCAAGTGTGTGATTTTTTAATAACACTGTTAAGGCCCAAAATCGTAATACCAGACAACATAGAAGTTGCATCCCACAAAATTCATAACCAGACCCACCAATCTAAAACGACGAAAGTTTCTAGCTTTGTAGGGAATAAAATAATCAAAGAGAAAGCTTCGAATGTTTTTGTAGAGGTGGTCACATCACATGCCCATGCCGGACATATCAGGGACATGGTTTTGAGTTTTCTCGTCTGCGTTCACAACCACTGAGGCCTCTGTTGTTGTCAAAAGCAAAGAACCGCTGCGTTTTTGGACACAAAGTTAGTTAGTTTTCCTTCTAATGGAGTAACAACGGTTGAGTTTTGGAACACTCTTTTACCTAGCAGCATCAGTTAAGGCGGTTTTGATAACCTTCACAGGGTCTATGATTCCAGCTTTTACCATATCCACATACGAACCTATTGCATTGCACCCAGAAAACAAAACCGTCAGACAAGTTCAGAGATTGATGATGTTTGCGTTTTGAGATGTTCTCAATGACATTACTAAACTAACCTTTGGCAGCATCAAAACCAAAATTGCAATCGTCTTGCTCTAATAACTTGCCAACCACTAAAGAACCATCGTAACCGGCATTTGCTGCTATTGTTAATGCAGGAGCCTACACAAGATTCACAACTTCTTGTCAAAGTTTTAGACTGAGAGATTTTTCATTTCAAGAAGCTAGAGATCAAACCTTCAGAGCATTCTGAACTATCTCAACACCTCTTCTTTGATCCTCGTTTTGAGTTTGAAGGTTGTCTAAAGCCTTTGTAGCATATAATAGAGCCACACCACCACCTATTCAAAATTTTCCCAGTTATAAGCACATGATGAAATAATTAGAGGAAATAGGGAGAAAAATAAAGCATAATATTTACTTACCTGGAATGATGCCTTCTTCTACGGCTGCTCGTGTAGCGTTTAAAGCATCAGTGACTCTGTCTTTTCTTTCTCCAACTTCAGTTTCACTTGCCCCTCCCACCTAAATAAGAACCAGACATATATCAGCTACTTTGGCATGCAAGAGTCTAAAAAGGACACATTGATGGGTGACTGACTAACCTTGAAGACTGCAACACCACCTGATAGTTTTGAGAGTCTTTCTTGCGTTTTCTCTTTATCAAAAGTGGAAGTGCTCTTTTCATTCGCTGACCTTAGCTGTACACCATGAGAAGAAAAAGGATTGCTTCTACTGTATTCTAGTGAGCAGTATTAATATGATAGAGATAGCGTAAGAAAATAATCATATACCTCTTCACATCTTTCTTCGATCAGCTTCTTATCGCCACCACCGTGCAGGATGATAGTGTCATCACGAGAGATGGTGACCTTTTTCAATGAAATTGTATTACACTCGAATATTGGAAAAAATCACAAGCAGAAACCAGACAAATTTTTCTCCTCTTACCTTTTTCGCGGTCCCAAGCAATTCAGGCCGAATTTTGTCAAGAGTTAGACCGCGCTCCTCAGAGACAACCTGTGTGTAAACGGTAAACCAGTGAGTTAGCAAATGAAAAACGCGAGACAAACGTAACCACATGTTGTTTCAGATAATTTTTTTACCTCTGCACCAGTAAGAACTGCAAGATCATCTAAGCTTGCTTTCCTGTTGTCACCATAACCCGGAGCCTTGATAGCGCATACCTTAAGCCCAGCATGATGCTTATTGAGAATAAGCATAGCTAATGCATCACTCTCTACATCCTCTGCTACAACAAGAAGTGGTCTGCTACTCTGCACAACCACAATCAATAAGAGAAACAAGTAAGCAGTAATTCTAAATAGCAAAGGTCTACAAACCGGACTTCAAAACATAGTAATAACTAATAATAGATAATCAAGGGAATGGTTTACTTGCACAGCTGCCTCTAGAACTTTCAACAACGCGTTCATGTCTGAAATCTTCTTCTCATGAATGAGGATGATGGGATTCTCAAGCTCCTGGAAAACAACACATATTTAGTTTAATATCCTTTATCTGCCTTCGCTTTTGGGTGAAACCTATACTTTCACATCGTACTAAACAGAAAGATATAAACTTACGCATTTCTGAGTCTTCTGATCTGTGATAAAATAAGGAGAAATGTAACCTCTTGCTAGCTTCATCCCTTCCACTACTTCTAGCTCGTTCTCTAAAGTGTTCCCATCCTGCGTATTGTAAGAAAAATGATGAGACATAGCACTAAGTCAATCATCATCTGATCCAATCCAAGGCATGAGAAGCAAAGTAAGCTTACAGCAACGGTGATAACCCCTTCCTTTCCAACTTTCTCCATGGCTCTTGCAATTAGTTCCCCAATCTCACGCTCTCCGTTTGCAGATATAGTAGCAACCTATCAAAATAGCATATATCATGGCAGTAAGAGACAACTTCTAATTCAGCATATGAAAGAACATAGAGAATCATGACTTAATGAATCTGTTTCTAAATCACCTGTGTGATCTCTTCTGGGGTGCTAATCATAACTGCTCTGCTTTTTAAATCAGATACAACTGCGTGAATAGCCATATTTATGCCAGTACGCAGATCCATCACATTTACACCAGCAGCCACTGACTTACAACCTTCGGTGAGTATTGCCTGAGTCAAAACAGTCGCACAAGTGGTACCTATGTAACATTTAAACAGGAATTTTCGCTATTATTAAATCTGCAGCATGTTTTTGTAATAGTCAAAAACTAATCTCCAAGACTTTTGAACTCAAAGAGGGGATTTAGTCAATTACCATCTCCAGCAACCTTGTTAGTGGCATTTGCAACCTGTTTCACGAGCTCTGCACCCATATTCTTAGCTTTTGCTTTGAATGATATGCTTTTTGCCACGGTGACACCATCCTTTGTTATCTTTGGTCCGCCATAACTGTTCTCAATTATCACATTTCTTCCCTAACACCACCACCGAAAGATACTGAATTTGAATAACCCGCACTGCATTGATCTGAACCTTCTAAAAACCAAGATAGAAAGATATATACCTTTGGCCCCATTGTGACTTTCACAGCTTCTGCAACCTCAGATACACCTTGCAACATAGCTGCCCGAGCACCAATCCCGAAACTGATATCCTTAGCCACATAGTTTCTGCTGCTTATAATCCTTCCAGAAACCTTTATGGTAATAGAGATCACCAAAAGAAATCCAATACCGGAATTAAATAACTTAATATAGGTTCTTCTTCTACAGCAATTGGTGGAACCGATTAAACTGTAAACCAGATAAATTTTGCAAATTCAAAAGCTCGAGGTAGAAACTTATTTAAATTTTGTTTCTTTGCATCACTGATGCAACTATCTGGACTTGTAGTTCGATTTGTCAGTTGGCACATTTCTAGCAGTTTCTCGATTAATGCCCAAATAACGAAATGCAATCAAACTCGTAAGATGACCCATAGAATAGAAGTTCACGAGACTCACCAGTTTCCTGGAAGTAGACGAGCTGCAAAGAAAATGATATGCCCATCAGTTCAAGTTGATCGAGTATTTTTACAAGTTTTAAAATAAGCTCACACTAAATGAAAGAATGAAACGTACCCAACTGAAGAAGATAACTTTGACAACACTCGGTACATTTCCGCTTTGCAAAGAGCTACAGAAGAAGAGGCTTCAAGGGTTTAGGGTTTTACTATGACGATCAAGGAATCTGTGCTTACGAATTTTAAGTTTCGTTCAAAAGAGCAAAAACTCTGGAAAATTCTGTGTTCTTGGGTTAAGCTCTGTTTCTGCAACTCCAAAATTAGGTTTTTAGTTCTTCCATTACCTTAGGCCCATTTTTACTTTTTCCAATGGCCCAAATTCTCGTTTTTCTGGGGTTCTTACAATGTGTCGATCGAATCTGACTGAAGAAAATATTTCTAATTTCTAAGTTGAAAAACGAGT